GCCGGCCCCTACGCCCTAGAGGGTGGGCCGCTGCCATAATCCCAATGACTGACAGATGTAGGGATGGCCAGCGCAGCCCTCATTCCTGCCGAAAAGCCTCCGTTGCTGCTCATTTTGGAGACCCCTGGACCTCCCACACTGCAGAAGAACAGACTGAATCCCAGAGCCAGCAGAGAATCAGGCATCCCAGAAGCCGTGTGCTGCCCACCAAGGAGGGAGGAGAGATTGGCAGTGACGCCCTGAAGCCTGGGCAAGAAGCTGGAGGGGAGGGCTGCTGCGGATTTTTTGTTGTGGTTTATTTTATTAAATTTTTTCTTTTCCTATTCATGTTGATGGACACAATCTTAGGCCGCCCTGGTCTGTGCTGCTGTCAGGTGAGCACGCACAGGTGTTTCTGGGTCAGGAGGTGCCGTCCAGGTGCGCAGTGACTGCTTCCCCCAGACTTCAGGATTTCCGTTTGGGTCTAGCTTAGAGCCTTTCCTTAAACTGGGGGTTGCTGCAAGGGTTTGCTTTTGGACATTTTTTTTTTAAAGCCCCTTTATAGTCTACAGTAATGTTTAAAAAAGGATCAGGTCTGCTTTTATTTTTATTTTATTTTTTGTTTCTTTCTCTTCCTATTTTTTAAAAACCATAAAAACCAGTTCCATGAGGAAAGGCAGAATCCGTTCTGTGTCTGCCACACACTGGGCCGGTTCTATGCAGTGCGAGGGTGTCCCGTGTCCATGTGAGGATGGGGTCCCGCCATCCCCCAGTTCAGCTCCAGCCCTGGTTTTCCTGTCGATGCAGTTAGGGACTTTAATTTAAAATCCTTATTTTGTAGGGCTGCCTTCTTCAAACACAACTGCTACAACATTCTAATAAAGGCTCATTTAACCCCCTTGCTCATGTGTGAATATCATCAGTCTTTAGAAAACATTTTTACCTAGTTTTGGAAAACATTCTAGTTTTTTGTTGTGCAAAACCCCAAATTTCTTATTGATTTTTGTTTAGAGTGCATAACTTAGATGGGCCGAAGGAGGTGAGGGAAGGGTGGAGATGGGTGGCTTTCATTCCAAGGTGCAGGGATTTGGGGGAAAGGAGGGAAATTGATGTTTTTGTTGGGGGGAGGGGTGTTTTAACACCAAAAAAGTTGAGAGTATGCAAGCGTTTCTATTCCTCGCATTTTTCTGTGTGCCTGGCCAATAAATACCTGTCTTATACTACCCTGAGCTGTTAGCACTCTGTGTTCGATGACATGGGCCAAATTTTCCAGCTCCTCCAAGGAGTGCCTGGGCTGGCCTCTTCCCGTTGAAAGCCCTCCCAGTGAACAAACCTCAGTTCTATGCAGTAACTCGGGATCAGGCATCCAGGCCAGTCACCTCTGCACTGGAGGGGTGCTGTAGGGGGCTGAGCGCTTCAGCTCGGGTCGACTGGGTCTTTGACAAGAGGTCTGAGCCGCCCCTATCAGCCCAGGCTCCCGACCACTCCCAGCCTGGCTGACTTCCTCTGGGGCTTATGGCTGTTGAACAGGCCTTGTGAGGTCAGTACAGACCGCAATGCCTCACTAGAAAAAGGTGCCACAGCAGAGGACAGGATAGACAGGGCCCTGGCTTCTCTTCTCCATCCCATGTCCCCGGGGAGCATTCCTATCAGGGATGACATACTGTGACAAGTGTAGTTTTTTGGGTTTTTTTTAAAGGGGACAAGAATGTGAGATGCCTTAATATTTCCTTCGTTTCTACTGTCTCAATGTCCTACCACCTGACTTCTTTAGTTCCCTCTTTGCAATGTAACTTCCACAATTAGCCCCACATGGGTGGTTCTTTGATGAAACACTACATTACAGGTAAAGGCACTATTAAATACCTCTCTGGGTGTGGAGTTTGGACATGCCAGGAAAGGATATTTATTGGCATTAAGGGTGTTCTCCCAGCAGCAAATCACACTCCTCAAACTGCCCACTGCTTGGGCAGTCACTGGCGTGCTGGGGTCCTGGTCTCCCCTGAGAACCCTGTGGTTCCTGTGAGCCACGTGGATGTGGTTCCCACCCCAACCTCAAAACAGTGACGATTGTAACTCTCAGTTACCTGTGGCAAACCCTCAATGGCAACTGGAAACTCTTCCTAATGTTGGCCACTCAGTGGACTGGGGTGGGGGTATCAGCTACTAGCGTGTTTTAGTGGAGGGAGGGCAGGTTTGAAATGGCCATGTTTGTGTACATGTTTATACATGTACACACACACACATGTCCACTTGGAGCCACCCACAGTTCTGGCCATACTGACCATGACATGGGGACTCCAGTCCATGGTGACGTTGGGAGCTACACCCCTGACGAAGTCTGGAGTGACCCTTCTCCCAGGGGTGGGACAGCTGGCACTGCAAGTGGCCTGTGGGTCCTATCTGTGCTCCTAGGACCTTCATGAAGCAAAAGCTTGCCCCAGGGCAGAGGGAATGAGGCCACTACATGCACCACCCCCATCCTGTCCCCCACACAGCACTCTATTGGACAGAGGGACACAGGGAGAGTTTTCTATATAATTATTCACATCACAGGGGGTCTGTAATGGGAAGGATGGTCCCTGCTGCTCCGCCATAGGGTTTTTCTTTGATGCTGAGTTATGCTGCACATGACATTAGCCTAAAGAACTTGGACTGAGCTTTTAAAAAAGGACAGCAATTTTATAATACTTAACAAAGAAAGTGTAATAGTTACACTAGTGCAGGGTATTTGGAGGGGCTTGGGGGTGGGGGAGGTTGTCACTTGTATTTATTGTGACTTTAAATCTCTGATAATAAAACAAATGTAAAAAATGTTTGCCACCAAAGCAGAAAGAAGTTCCAATAAAACAAAGAGGCTGGCATTGGTTGGCTACACGTTGTACCTTGAGGAAGTTTTAGACTGAAGGACAATAAAGAAATGGACCACATGTGACTGCACTTTTCTTTCCTTCCCGCGGCCCTGGTTTCCCTGCGATGTTTAGCCCAGCTTCCGGCAGTCTGCGGGGAAGGTGGAGGGTGACGCTTTGCTAACGGGGAGCAAAGGGTGGGGTGCACCTGCTAATTGTGCTTCTTTGGGTAGGGCACTTTCTTGGTGGCTCAGCTAGCTCTTGGCCCTCATGAGAGTCATGTGCTTTCCTGGATCAGGCACAGGCTTCTCAGTGGACCCTGGGCAGATTGAGGGCGCCAGTCCTGGGTGGTGTTCTCAAGCAGCTTTTCCAGCTGAAAACAGGACATTATCCCCAGTCCCTGAGACCTTGTCCCCTCTGAACTGAGCCATGGGGCAACAGGAAACCTGGGTCCCTTCTCGCACAGATTGATGAGGGACAGAAGAAAGGCATGTGCCACGCCCTGGGCACTGGAGACGTGGCCGTAACCATCCAGATGGAAATAAAACAGCACCTTGTAAGGAGGGAAAGAACAGGGTGTCGGGGAAGAGGTGATGTTTTAGGCCAAGTCTTGAATGAAGATCGGAAAGTAGTAGTGCCCGGAGTGTGAACAGCCTGTGCACAGGCTTGGAAGTGGGACCAAGCATGGCAGGTCAAGGACAAAGAGGACAGTGTGGTTGGACCGTGGGGGAAAGGGGAAAGGATGTGGTTTTATTCTGACAACAATGGGGAGCCTCAGGAAGGCTCAGGGTTCCGTCCTCCAGGGAGCCTCAGTCTCTTCCAACAACCCTGAGGATGGGTTCTGCCCCCACTCTCTAGGTGGGGAGCGCAAGGCACAGCCCAGGTCAGGAGAGGTGCCCTTCCACTATAAACCAGAGGTGTTGGGCTCTATGCTTCAGCTCTGACATAATCCAGCCAGGATTGCCCCTTTTAGCCTGTTTCCTCATCTGCAAAGTGAGGGGGATGGGGCTATTTGAAGGGCAGAGGAGAGAGTGGCACTCAATCCCCAGGGCACAGAAAGCCATGGAGGGTGAGTGAGCAGGGGCTGGGCCTGGTGAGACCCACAAGTTGAGGAGCTCCCTTGGGGACCATGGGGCTCAAATGAAGGTGGGTAGGACTGGGGTTTAGGGAGATGTTTCCCATACACCCCAACCAACAATAAGCTACTGTTACCAAACAGTAACCTCATCGCAGCAAAATAACCCCCAACCTCAACCAGGCCCTTGGGGTTCCCCTCCAGACATACACCTCTACCTCTCCACACTCTCTCCCTCCCTATGCCAGCCACAGGAACCTCCTGACGTTACGCAAACACACCAGCTCTGTTCTTTCACGGGAACACTTGGAACACTTTCCATCCTCTGTTTCCAATGGCTGATTCCTTCGGGGCTCAGCTCAAATGTCACAACTTGAGTCCCTCCTTGGATGCCCCCCACCCACCCGGCACTCAGCACAACTTACAATTATTTCATTTCCACGCCATTCTTTTACTTGATTTTTCATTTGCCTCCTCGTTGAGTGAAGGGATGAGTCCAAGCCTCTTCGCTGAGTTCCAGGGCCTGGCAAACAGCAGGTGCTCCAGAAACGCACGAATACGTGAACGAACACAGGACTGAGAATGAACCAGTTCGCCCAGATGACTTAAGTCCATCCCCGACTCTCCATCTATACTCTTCCCCAGAGGTAAGGGGCCCTCACCAAGGATGGCTCCCACCACCCAACCACACTACTGCAGCCAGATTTGGGTTCAAATCCCAGCTGTTTGGGGGCAGGTGACATCTCTGTGGGCCTCAGTTTCCTCATCTGTAAACGCTCAGTTTGTATCGACACAGAAGGTTCCCACCCCCCGCCGTTCCATCCTTAAACACGAGGAGGGAGTTGTGCTAAGGTCCAGTTGCTCCCCAGCCCAGCATTCCTATTCACAGCCCCCGGGGACAACAAAGCCCCTTCGAGTTTGCCCAGGCAGGGGAGCCCGAAGTGTCCGCGTTCCAATCCTTCCAACTCTCTTTAGAGACCTGGAGCAAGAACCTCAACATGCCTTTCTCTAAAATGGGGGGTTCGCGCCCGCCTGCCCCCGGGGAAGCGACCCCCTACACCCCTGCTGCGTAAAAGGCGGCCACAGCTAGAGCCAAGTGCGAGGAAGAGCAAGTTTATTGCAGGTTCCAACAAGAACCTGACATCCGCGGCTGGCTGGGGAAGGACTCCCCCCAAGCGAGTCCGCTAGCGCAGACGCCACTCATCCGCGCAGGCGCGATGCTTCCGTCCCCTCTCGTCGCGCCCCTCTCGGGGCCTGGGCGCGGAGACTGGAGGATGCGCACGCACCCCTCGCTCTCGGGATCGTGGAGCAGGAGCCGGATTCCAAACAGGGGCGACTGCGGCCCCCGCGGTGGAGGGGGTTGAGGGCAGGGGGTGGAAAGGGAGAGGGGACGTGCGCACTGGCACGCGGCGGCTCGCGGGTCACCAGGAGCCTGCCTGTCGCGCGTGCGCCACGCGGGCTCAGTACCCCCCCGCGGCGGGCATGGCGGGAACCCCGGCTTCTAGCCGGAGTCCCCCGCGCGCAGCCAGCCGTTGCGCGCCACCTGGCCCGCCGAGGGCCTAGCCGAGGGGCTGAACTGCAGCAGCTCGGCGATCAGGGCCTTGCAGCGCTCGGACAGCTCGAGGCCGTCGGGGTAGAGCACGCCGCGCTTCTGGCGCCGGGGTAGGCCGGCGATGTCCGAGTCGTCGAAGGGCATGCACCCGGTGACCATGACGTAGAGCACGACGCCCAGGCTCCACACGTCGTACTTCTTGGGGTCGTAGGGGATGCCCAGGAGCACCTCGGGTGACGCGTAGGCGGCCGAGCCGCAGTAGGTGGTGCTCAGATCTGGGTAGCCGTGCGCCTGGCGGCCGAAGCCGAAGTCGGTGAGCTTGACGCGGCGCTCGTCCGGGCTCAGCAGCACGTTTTCGCACTTGAGGTCGCGGTGCACCAGGTGGTGGTCGTGCAGGTAGCGCACGGCACCGGCGATCTGCGCGAAGAGGTCGCGCGCCTGCGCGCCGGGGATGCGCCCGTTGCGCTGCACGGCCTGCAGCAGGTCGGTCGCCGCCGCCTCCATCACGATGTACAGCTTCCCGTTGCACACCTCGATGAACTCGAAGACGTGCACGATGTGCGGGTGCCGCACGCCCCGCAGGATGGACAGCTCGCGCGGCAGGAACTTGTTGACGAAGTCCTGCGGCGCCCGCCGTCGGTCCACCACCTTGATGGCCACCGTACCCTTGTACTTCTTGGACGTGGCCACCTTCACCTTGGAGTAGCTGCCCTCGCCGATCGTGCGGCCCAGCTTATAGCCAAGTTCGCTCAGGAGTTTGTCGCCCGACATGGTGGCGCCCGGGGAGCAGGAGGTGGCTGCTGTCGGGGGGCGGCCGGACTCCGATCTCGGGCCTAACCCATGGCGCTCGGCACCTGCACACCCGCACCCCCATGTGCCCAATCCCGGGGCCCAGCCGCCGCAGCGTCTTTTATTGCCTGGGTAACAATTTCTGCCTTGTGAAGTGACCGCGGGCGTCACTCCGCCCGGCAGGCCCCCCAAGCCCCTCATGCTTTGTGACTCAGTCTCCCTGAATGGTCAGTTCCGGTGAGAGGCCACTAGTAAGAGGTACCGACCACCACCACGGAGCAGAATCCTTTCCTGGGATTGGGGTGCCTCCTCGCCAGTCCACCCACCAATTTTGCGTACGCAGCCCGTGACCATGTGGAGCTCTGGGATTCCTGCAGGGTGAAAACGGGAAAGGGGGGGCTTAACCCGGGGACCTGACTCCCCCGGGACCCCGGGGTATCAGGCCCGGGCATCGCCCCAGAGGGGAGGTGAACTTATTTAGTGCAAGGACCAGGGTGCCCCGGCGGGTTCCAAGCGACGACGATTTTAGTCACGCCCTGTCGGGGGGGAGAAGAGGAAATAGAGACTCCAGTAGCAGCCTAGCCGCCCGAGCTGTCCCGCGCATTGGGACGGCGGCGCCTCGGAGGATCCTCCCCGGGACTTCCGCCACACTCATGATGGCGGCTGCCTTCCTACGTCACTTCCGCCCACAGCCGGAAGTGTGAGGTGCTGTGAGCATGGCGGCGTCGAAGGTGAAGCAGGACATGCCCCCACCGGGGGGCTACGGCCCTATCGACTACAAGCGGAACCTGCCGCGTCGGGGACTGTCGGGGCAGTGTCGCTCTGCGCCGGGGCGGGTAGCAGCCTAGCCGCCCGAGCTGTCCCGCGCATTGGGACGGCGGCGCCTCGGAGGATCCTCCCCGGGACTTCCGCCACACTCATGATGGCGGCTGCCTTCCTACGTCACTTCCGCCCACAGCCGGAAGTGTGAGGTGCTGTGAGCATGGCGGCGTCGAAGGTGAAGCAGGACATGCCCCCACCGGGGGGCTACGGCCCTATCGACTACAAGCGGAACCTGCCGCGTCGGGGACTGTCGGGTCAGTGTCGCTCTGCGCCGGGGCGGCGGGATCCGGGCTCTTGGGGTGCTGAGGCGGGCGCTGGGTTTCCCCGGTGGTCCGGCGGGAGGCGGAGCCCGGGGATCCCGATAGCTTCAGGGGTGATGGCGGTAGCTGTTGCAGTTTGTCGAGCGCTCAGGCCTTCGCTGCCTTCTTGTAACAGCCCAGGAGGTCGGTCCCGTGAATTATTCCTATTTTATTCCTACTGGGTTAAACTGAGGTTGGCATAAGCCGCGCGCTGGCCCTCGGCCACCCTAGGTGGAGAAACTGAGGCCCGAGAGAGGCTGCGACTCCTCTAGGGTCACCCAGGGCAAGGCTGGGACCGAAACCGAGAACCCGGAAGGGTTTAAAAGGTGTTCTATGTGGTGGTTCCTCTCTGGCGGCCCCTTCCTGAAGAGTGTGCCTGGAATCGGTATTCCCCCCAAATTCTAATGTTTTAAGTAACATTTTAAATTTCGTTACTGGATTCAACACAGAAAATTGTTAAAGAGAAGGTAAAAGGAGCCTAGGGTTAACAGAGAAGTGCAAAATTTAAAACGTAATTTAAGGGTTCTGAATACATTTGCCTTAATGCATACAACTTTATATTTAAAACCTGTACATGTTATGCAAGTTATGCCTCAATTAACAAAATGTATATGGTTAAAAAAATGTAATAATTCAGATGGTAGAAAAGTCAGTGTCAGCTGAAAACTCAGGTCCACCCCAGACCCTTCCTGGCTTTCTTGTATCCCAGAACAGAGAGGGCGAACTTTTTCTGTAAAGGGCCAGAAGTCAAAGTTGCTGAGACAAACCTTTCCAATGTAAAAGTGTTCTTAGCCTGAGGTCCAGACAAAACCAGGCTGCAGGCTGGATGTGGCCCTCAGGCACTGACACCTTTCTAAAAATAGATGAGGAAATATAACACGATCTCACTCTCTTCATTTCTCTTCTCAGGGTGTAACTTGATGCCTAGGCCAGCGCGCCCCCTCAGGTGTGCAGCACAGGGTCTGTTTACACATATTACCTGCACCCAGACCAGGCTGCAGAAGGATCCCAGCCCTTGGGACTCCCTGGGCTTCTCCTAGTCAGCATCTTATATTTATTTTTAAGTCACAAACATGCCTTTTATCCCGGTCCTCTTCCAGTTCATGACACAGTAGTGCCTCTTGTGTGCTGCGCATACGGACCCACCTCAGCCTTTCCTTCTGCACAAGAGTGACAAAGATACCCTTCTGGTGGTGCCATCTTTGTGTGTACCTGCATAGTAACGGGTTGTTGAGTGTGCACCCGGCACTGGGCCTGGTCCTGAGGAGCTCACAGTCTAGCTGAGGGGACACCTCATGCCAGAATTTCTAGTTGGGGCGAGACCAGGATAACTGGGACCTGCTTTAGCCAGAGTGAGACAGGAGGACCTCTCTGAGAAGGAGCCTGCCAGGCAGAGGGAACAGCACATACAAAGGCCCTGATCCCATCTTCCATCCTTCAGCCTTGGCCCCTTTGAGCCAGGATCCAAATCAGCCCATTCAGTCAGTCCTACTTACTCTTCCCTGCTCCTGTCCAAGGCCCCGTGGTCCCGAGCCCGGCACTCACTTCCTGCCCTCTGCCTGGACTACTCATTGACTGCCTGTATCCCAGAACATGCCAGACTGGCTCAGGCTCCTTCTAATTCACTGCTCCTGAAGTGACTTCCACCCCCACTCCCTCCTGAGTCCAGTGGGTGGCCCTTTTCATTTTATCTTGTGTCTTTCATTTCTTTATTGAGATTCACATACTGTACTATACAATTCACCCATTTACAAAGTTTCCAATTCACTGATTTTTAGTATATTCACAGAGTTGTGCAATCATCACCCTTATCTAAATTCAGAACACTTTCATCACCACAAAAGGAAACCTTGTCCCTGTTAGCAGTTACTCCCCATTCTTCCGCATCCCCTGGCAACCACCAATCTGCTTTCTGTCTCTATGGATTTGCCCGTTCTGGGCATTTCATGTAAATGTGACCACAAACACTGTGGCCTTTCATGTCTGGCTCCTCTCACTCTGCATCATGTTTCAAGGTCCATCCATGCTGTAGCGTATGTCAGAGCTCTGTTCCCTTTAAGCCTTAATAACAGTCGTCGTATGGATGAGCCACATTTTGCGTATCTATTTATTTGTCGGTGGACACTTGAGTTGCTTCCACCTTTGGGCTTTTGTGAACAGTGTTGCTATGAACATTCATGTACAAGGGTTTGTGTGGGTGTAGGTTTTCATTTCTCCCAAGTGAAATTCCACCTAAGAGGAAATGCCCGGCCATGTGATAACCTCACGTTTAACATTATGAAGAACTGCTGAACTGTTTTCCAAATTGGCTGCACTGTTTTATGTTCCCACCTGCAATGTGTGGGAGTCCCAATTTTCCCACATCTCGATAACAGCAATTATTTCCCATTTTTTTGATTATGACCGTCCTAGTTCATGTGAAGTGGTGTTTCATTGTGGTTTTGATTTGCATTTCCCTGATGATTAATGATGTTGAGCATCTTTTTAGGTGTTTATTGGCCACTTACATATTTTTCTTGGAAAAATATCTATTCTGATCCTTTACACATTTTTCAATTGGGTTATTTATGTCTTTATTATTGAGTCTTCGTATATTTTGGATACCATTCCTTTATCGGAAACATGATTTGCAAATTCCTGCTCCCATTCTGTGGATTGTCTTTACAGCTAATTGATGGTATCGTTTGCAGCACGAAAGTTTTTAATTTTAATCAATTCCCCTTTTGTTATTGTACTTCTGATGGTATATCTAAGAAACCATTGCCTAATCTGAGGTCACAGACACTCCTAAGTTTTCTTCTAGAGTGTTATAGTTTTAGCTCTTACATATAGGTCTTTGATCCATTTCGAGTTAATTTTTGTGTTTGGGATAAAGAGGGACTTCATTCTTTTGCATGTGGCTGGCCATATCCCATTTGTTGAAAAGACTGTTCTTTCCCATTGAATTGTCCTGGCACTCCTGTCCAAAATCAGTTGACCATAAATGTGCGGGTTTATTTCTGGCCTCTAAGTTCTCTTCCACTGATGAATGTGTCCATCCGTATGCCAGTGCCACTCTGTCTTGTACGCTCAGCTGTGCAATAAGTTTGAAAAGGTGAAGTGCCAGTCCTCCAACTTGGTTCTTCTTTTTCAAAATCATTCTGGCTGTTCTGGTCCCTTGCATTTCCATATGAATTTCACAACCTGCTTGTCAATATCTGCGAGAGAAAAAAAAGATTGAGATTCTGGTGGGGGTTGCATTGAATCTGCACATCACTCTGGGGAATGTCCCCATCTACACGATACTAAGTGTTCAGCTCCATGAGCACAGGATGTGTTTCCATGTATTTAGGTCTTCTTTAAGAATGGCTTGCACACCCTTCTCTGCATGCCTCTCCCAGGCCTCCCTCATCAGACTGGCAGCTTCTGAGGCACAGACCCACCCTGGAGGTCTGGGGCCTTGGCCCCACCTCAGTCAGCAAGGAAGAAATGAGTTAGAGCCTGCACTGGCTGCATACAAACCCGAGGGGTCCTGCGTTATTCTGAAAGCCCTCTCCTTTGGAATTTATCGTACAGATGGGCCTGCACGTGGATGCCAGGATGTGAGGGTGAGGGGTCTCCACAGGGTCCGTTTGCCATGCTAGGGTCTGTCCCCGGGGCAGAGTCAGAGATAAGGCTCCACCAGGGTTCTCTGCAGCTGGTGAAAAGAGAGCTGTAGTGGGGAGAAGGCTCAATGTCCAGGGCAGGAAGCCAGCAGGGAGCTGGTCCTGCACACCCAGGGCCTCTCTAAAAAGGCTGTGCCTTGGGGCCTGGGCCCAGCCCACTCTTGATGCCCTGTCCCCTGAGCTCATGTTTTGTCAGGTGAAATAAGCAGGTAAAAGATGGAGCCAGTTTCCCATTCATCTCTGGATGTAGCAGAGGTGCCAAGGCAGCCTTGTGCCAGAGCCAAGCTAAAGGGGGAGAGAAGGATAGGGACACTGGTGGCCCTGGCAGGCTCTGAGCAGGGCCTGACTTCTAGAGCTCCTGTTCTGCCCCCCATGAAGCCCAGGGACGGCCTCCCTGAGCAGGCCC